TCTCTCTCTTTCTCTTTCACTCTCTCTCTCTTTTTCACAGTCTCTCCCTCCCTCTCTCTCTCTCTTTCTCTCTGTCTCCCTCTCTCATTCACTCTTTTTCTCTGTCTCTCTTTCACTCTCTCTCTCACCATCTCATAATTGCCTATAACCAAACAATAAAGAAGAATATATATATATATATATATTTATTTAACCATCTGCCCTTTGTCGAATAAAATTGACCTCGCCTTTGGATTGCTCCAATCTCGAGATAAGTATAGGATAAAGAAGTGGATAATAGCGTGTCCATATTTTTTTTTCTTACTCCCAGTTCTTGCAGCAGGGAGGGGAAAAAAAAATAACAGAAAGCTGTGAATAATTTACAATCGTGGGGTGAAAATAACCGTTTTCCACGGAATGACACAACTTTGGCAAGGAGAAATGACTCCTTTCCAAAAACAACACAACAACAACCTTCCCTGTATACAAGAACTCGGCACCTAAATATAGTCCTCAAAACTTACAGCAGTTCATTTAGTGACCACTCAAAGATACAGGGCACTGACTGATGACCATTTTTCACACTTACGGCCATTGTAGCTTCATTAGGCTCATGGGATCGGATGCTTGGCAACTGACTCATACTTATGACGGTAGTAGTGTCCCAAGGTGATCCCCATTTGCGATCTTCTGACCAGCAAAATCCACAGAGAAGTCAGATTCACTTAACGACCATGTGGCTAACTTATCAGCTGCAGTGATTCACTTAACAACCGTGGCACGGAAGGTCATAAAATGAGTCAAAACTCACTGAACAAATGTCTCACTTAACAACAGAAATTTTCGGCTCAATTGTGGTCATAACTCGAGGCCTACCTGTATTCTTTTACAGAGGCAGATAATTTCATTACAGTCAAAAACTCCTCAGGTCGATTTATTTGATTTAGATCAATTTATTTAAACTATAGATCAAAGTTCTATAATTTGAAGAAAGATGGCACTAAATTGTTACAGGCTTCAGCTCACAACAAGCCCCCTTGCTCGTACACAGGTGGTCCTCAACTTACAACCTCAATGGAGTCCAACATTTCTGTCGCTAAGCAAGGCTGTTAAGTGAACTTAGTCCCATTTTACAGCCTTTCTGGCCTCTGTTGTTAAGGGAAACCCGGCCATCTAAAAGTTAGTCACACAGTTGTTAAACAAATCCAGATTCCCCCGTCGAATTTGCTTGTCAGAAGGTCACAAAAGGGGACCGTATGAACCTGGGAAGCTGCACCTGTCATAAGTTCATTCCTGTCATGCCCCTGTCAGAATCTGATTCAGAAGGGAGGCTGAGCAGCTGACAGGGAGTCGGAGTGTCGCTCCGTTGGCTGTGGAGGAAACTGGGGAAGGGCAGAGTCCGGCTGGGCAGAGCAGGGGGGAGGTAGAACAAGGGAGAGAGTTCAGAGGAAGACCCAGGCCCACCCCCTCTTCATCCTAGGGCACGCAGGGAGGAACGGAGAAGGGAGCAACGTGGGTTGCGTGGCTTACGGGGGAAGAAAGGGCCCTGGTTCCCTTCATTAATTGCAGCTGGGAACACAGTATTTAAAAAGGGAGGTTGTGCACAGCAAGTTGTTGGGAGAAAATCGTGAATTATCTTGTATCGTCGAGGCTTATCTGGGTTCCTGGCGTCTTCCCAACTGTGTGAGTTTTGCCGTGCTTTCAAGTCTGAAATTCCTTCTCCTGACCTGTCAAGCTAATTACTACAGCTTGGTTTGTTTGGACTTTAAGTTACAGTTTGTGTGTACCTTGTTTTGGACTTAATTCTCTGCAGCCAAAGACTGTTCCTGGGAGAGTTTGTCTCCAACCCTAAGGTAACCTGGACATTGGGGGCAAAGTTGGAGATAATAAAGGGACTCTTATTACTTGTTTAACTGTGTTGCTTTTGTGCCACGCCCCTTTGGGTCATCACAATGCCAGTTGCCAAACCTCTGAATTTGGATTACGTGACCGTGGGGATGCTGCAATGGTCATCAATGTGAAAAATGGTCATAGGTCACATTTTTCACTGCCATTGTAACTTTGAACAGTCACCAAACAACTCAAGTAGAATATAATGAGCTGGAAGGGACCTTGGAGGTCTTCTAGTCCAGCCCCCTGCTCAAGCAGGGGATGCCCTCACGGTGGTGTGAAAAATGGGCATAAGTCACTTTTTTTCAGTCCTGTTGTCACTTCTAATAAACCGTTGTAAGTCAAGGACTATCGGTAGTTTCGGGAGTGTGTTTCAGAGCAGTGCATGCGCAGAGTCTGGTTTCACTCCTGGAGAACCTGTTTGCAAAAATCTCCCATTGACCTGGGAGGAAAAAGCCTTTTTTTCCAGATTTCAAGGGACGCGATTTGCCACATGCCAAACCGTCTTTTCCAAAGCCTTTGCACGGCCCCTTCGGATCGCATAACTGTCGACACCCAGATGCTTGCAAAACACATTAAAGGCAAAATGCAAGCTTTAGGGGGAAAAAAAAACCAACAACCAGCAGGCAGTGCAGATATAAGCTTGAAAGTGGGTTAAAAGAAGAACCAGGAAAATGGGTCAGTCAGGAGCTGGGAATGAAATGTCCTTTTGAAAAAGATTTTCTTAGGAAAAGCAAAGAGGGGGAAATAATCGTGGTGTTTGGACTCTAGAATTAAAGTTTCTGTCATGCCCCTGTCAGAGCCTGAAACTGAGGAGAAAGACGAACAGCTGACAGGGAGTGGAAATGTGGCTCCATTGGCTGTGAAGGAAACTGGTGGAGGGCAAAGTCTGGCTGGGCAGAGCAGAGAAGAGGAAGAACAAGGGAGAGGGAATTCAGAGGAAAACCCAGGCCCACCCCCTCTTCATCCTCGAGCATGCAGGGAGGAATGGAGAAGGGACTAACATGGGTTGCATGGCTTATGGGGGAGGAAAGGGCCTTGATTCCCTTCATTAGCCACACCTGGGAATGAGAGTTTAAAAGAGATGTGGCAACTGCTGGGAGCAAACATGAGTTTATCTTGTGTTGACTTTGGCTATCTGCATTCCTGGTGTCCTCCCAACTGTGTTGAATTATGGCCATTCCTTCATGTCTGGAATCCTTGCTCCTGCCCTGTCGGATTAATTACCTCATTTTGCCTTGATTGGACTTATAGTTACAGTTTTTGTTGACCATGTTTTGGACTTGATTCGCTGCAGCCAAAGGCTGTTCCTGGGAGAGTTTTTTTCCAGCCAGAAGGTAACCAGGACATTGGGGGCAAAGTAGCAGCTAATAAAGGGACTCCTGCTGATTATCTGGCTGGATTGCTTTTTCAAGAGGCAACTGGACTGTTTTTCCTTCTCATCCAAGAAGTTTCTCCAGTTCTTCTTCAGAATTGAAGGAGCTTCTTGGATGAGAAGAAAACATTTTTAAAGGAAGGTCCATGGAGATTCTTGGTTCTCCAGGTCATGGTTGTCCCAAAGGTGCTTTTTTCAAGAGGCAACTGGACTTTGTTTTTCCTTGAAGACATTTTGTTTCCCATCCCAGAAGCTTCTGAAGAACTGTTCTCTAGAACAGAAGAAGCTTCTGGGATGAGAAGTGAAATGTCTTCAAGGAAGAACCAAGAAAATCCAGTTGCCTTTTGACAAATCATTTTTGGGACATCCTGAATAAATGGCTGTTCACTCTTTCCTCACAATCACTACTCTACACTTTCCCACTGGTTAATTGTTCTCACTGTGAAGTAATTTCTTCTTAGTAAAACTTGCTTAAAACTTAACCTTGGCTTGCTTGTTACTTCGTGTTCGAGGTTGTTGAATGAATGCAGCACTTTGGTTAATTTAATGGCTCGATATAAGCCGTCTAAATCAAACTCAATTTCCACCTGAACTCGTAAAACCCAGTACTCAATTTAAGCTGTGTTGTGTGGGTGTTGCTGGTCAGTGCTGATGAACTCAACGGGGTGTGATATTGTGGTTGTCTTAAGCTGTGCCAGGAAAGCAGCATTTCCTTGGAGAAGCACCTTAAAGTTTATCGAGCAAAAATAGAAAATATAAGTGTCTGTCTGTTGTGGATTTAGATTTAATGGAGACTATCACAACTGCCTTTGGCATTCATAAAAGAACATAAGGTCAAGCAACATCATTGTTTCGGAAATGAAAAATAATAGATCACCAAGGACTAGAATCTTATAAATGTCAAGGAAAGACAAAGGAGGATTTGAAATTGTATGTACACAAGACTCCTCCATAATTGCTGGTTCACCTGAAGATTTCCTAAAATGGTTTACACTGATCAAATTGGCTTTAATTCAAACTATTAATTTCCTTCCAGATAATAAAGTTGACCGTCTGTGGAAATTCTCTATCCTCAGTTGTCCCAAAGGTGCTTTTTTTTCAAGAGGCAACTGGACTTCCTTGGTTTTTCCTTGAAGATGACCGTCAAACTATTTGCTTTTCATCCAAGAAGCTTCTTCAGTTCTTCTTCTAAAATTGAAGAAGCTTCTTGGATGAGAAGCAAAACATTTTCAAAGAAACATCCATGGATATTCTCCATCATTCAGGTCATGGTTGTTTCAAAGGTGCTTTTTTCAGGAGGCAACTGGACTTTCTTTGTTTTTCTTTTGAAGAGGTTTCGCTTCTCGCCCAAGAAGCTTCTTCAGTTCTGAAGAAGAAGAACTGAAGAAGCTTCTTGAATGAGAAGCAAAACATTTTCAAGGGAATATCCATGGAGGTTCTCCATCCT